CGCGAGCGTCCATACAAAGGACGTCCGCGCTTCTTATCAACAAAACCTTGACTTTCTACCCTCACTCTTAGATACCCTGTAAATCAAAAAACAATCTCGGCGTAAGTCCAACTTAAACAATTTTTCGTGTTATCTTCCTGTGAAATGTATTTTAATAACACTCAATTAGAAAACAAGTTGAGTTTTATTTTCGAACTGCAGATTACAGATAACTTACTCCTAACAAACAACGCAACTCAAATGACTGATTTATGTGTAGCAAATTTTGTCAGGCGTTACCATACCTGACTGATTATCTCATGTTTTAAGATACTCACGTCTTCGACGACGACGCCGGTATATCTTTATCCTGATGCGTCTCGCTTTGCCATATCTGCCATTTCTTTTCTGAACGCGGTAGCCCTTTCTTGCTCTTCTCAAAATGCGTATCTTTCTTCTGTACTTAATGTACCTTACAACGCGGCGTTTGATTTTTTTCCACCTGTTTCTCAAACGTATAAACCATTTCCCTCGTCTGAGTCTCACTGGCCGCCTTCTACCTCCAATACGACAGGTCAGCCTGATGCGCTTTATCTTTCTCCAACGTCGACCCCGCTTATAGAACCAGCGTTTCCTCCGTCTCTTCAGTCGACACCAACGTCTCTTAATCCGCACGCGCCATCCACGGTAGGATCGCTTTATTTTTCTGTACTTCCTTAATAAAAACAATCTGATTTTGCGTTTATATCTTCGGATGACTTTCTTTTTCCTACCAATGCGAATGGTATATCTTCTCTTCGTTCTAATCACACAGCGTCTCCCACGGTACTTGATCACTTTTCGCCCTGTTGTTGTGTAAAATGAAGGACACGGTTACAACAAATTTAGGATTTCAGTACTAATGAACTCCTAAGGCGCATATTGACTTTTTAATCTTCAGCATTACCTGATGGATAGTCAATCTTCCCAACATCTTGAACATCCTAACTCCGTTTTGGTTGATTGATTAGTAACGTTTGTAATTGGCGCTGAAAAGCCCTCGTGCACCGTGAGGGTAGTACTATGCCGCTGTTTTGTGCAATCCCAGCGGCAAGACTGAAATGGAAGCGAGCTAGTAGCTATGCAAAGGTTTTCAAGGCTATGTTTACAACGAAAATAGAGACAAAAGTTGACTCGGCCCGCGAGCGTCCATACAACGTACGTCCAAACTTCTTATCAACAAAACCTTGACTTTCTAATCTCACTCCCAGATACGCTGTAAATCAAGAAACAATCTGAACTGAATAGAGCGAAATCCGATGATTCTTGGCGCAAAAATATCAAAGTTCTAACATAATTGATTTTGTTGTTGTTTTTTTTTTTCATCTTTTGGCAAGATGTAGAAAAATGGTTGAGAAAGTAATCTATCAAAAGGAAAATATGCATTGGTATAGGTATCTCGATAACACTTGTGTAGCTACTGTTACTCACGCCGTCCTCTTCTTCCTCGTCTCCGTGCTGGTCTCTTTCTTCGCCTTCGTCTTCGCCTTCGTCGTCGACGTCGACGTCGGCGTCGGCGTCTTCGCCTCCTTCTTCGCCTTCTGCGTCTTTTTCGCCTGACTCGTCTTCTACCCCTTCTTCGCTTTCGGCGTCTAATCCTTCTTCTGGTACGTCGACCGTATCCTGTCAAAACAAAAAATGCGCATAGCTTAGTAGTATACTACGCTATGTCTTTTGCTACTTGATTTTGGTGTAAATCTAGCAGCGTCCAATCACTAATGCCGTTCTCTGATTGGCTACGCTACGCACCAACTATTCTGTTGTAGATAGTGAGTAGCCTAGCCCAGCAGTGTGCGCTTGTTACCAAACTGGGGCCCGCTGCTTTGCGTTTACGAGTTGTCCGTGCACAGGATTCAGATTAAGTTTAAACGACCAGAATATTTATACTAAATCGATTTTATTGCGTAATAGTTGCGTGATAGTTTACGAGGGTGCATCTAACAAGCAAAATTGATGAGTAGCATTAAATTTCCTTGGGACTAGATACGGTATAAAAAAAAATACTCAAAAATCTACGACAGTGACAATAGTCCAGTTACTTGTTAACGAAGAACGCTGAATAGAAAGAGGAAAAAAGCATTTGCACAGTGTTAGTCTCGATCTGAAGCATAATCGTCACAAATACCCGTGAGAACATGAACTATTGACAAGTCGGTGTATTGCTTCATCTTACTCCCCACCACTTTCCTCCTAGCTTTTTGTGAATATTTTATGTCACGGGTTCTAACTTCAGTGGTCTTGTTTAACTCAAAACTGGACTATTAGATTACAGCAAAAAAATGAACAATGGGTTGATCCAGCCAGAAGCCACTGTCATTTTTCAGGCGAAGGTTTACGTCTGACTCAGTTCTGGACAAGATGCTCACTAAGCTGGAGATATCACTAGAATCCACATCATAAAGCGAGAAACGCTTATCTGTTGGATGGTATGCTATTCGGAATGCTATTGAAGTCCTTCCAAGCAGTTAACAAATTATTTACAACAGCCTGGAATTTAGTGTACTCACGTCGTCTTCGCCTGATAATTTTAGTCCTGATCCGGTATCTTCTTCGTTTGTATACGATCCTTCTTCGTCCAATCAACCTCACGAACTTCTTCTGTCCTTTAAACCGGAAAAAGCCCAAAGTCCTTCGTTTAATTTTTCGCCATTTCTTCTTGTATTTAAGCAACCATCGCCCCCGCCGACGTCTTACGCGGCATCGTCTGCGCTTGATGCGAATCGTGACTCTGACACGTCTTAGACGCTTCCATCTGCGGCGTCGTTTGTAAAACCAGCGACGACCCCGTTTCTTTAGGCCGCACCATCGTCGCCGTATGCGTACTCTCCATCTGCGAGCTTTTCGCTTTATTCTACACCATCTTCTTCCAATGCGCATTCTTAGCCGCGTCCTGAACCGAGCAATTCGTGTTCTTACACCCTTTACTCTAATAGTGTACTTTCGCCTTTTACTTACGCGACATCGCTTTCCACGGAAACGGACAACCATTATGCCTGATGAAGAAAGGCACGTTTTAAAATCATTAAAATATCATGCAGGATACCCAGCCATTTAAGCAGAAACCTTGGAAGTGGAGCTTGTGTTATTTCTCTTCAAAATATCCATCCGCAGGAGAGGGTCCAGATGGGGTTTAAGTGAAGTTTTAGTGCAAGCTGAGTAAGGACCGAGTAATAATGACACACTCTTTAACTGATAGTTGAGATCTAGAAAATTTAATGATTCCTGAGAAATGGCTGAAATGTTAACTGATGGCTGAGAAATCAACAGAAATTCATTGATAAGTAAGATTCTAGCACGCTCATCCAGACCCTAAGAGAAAGAATATTACTGACAAAGAATCACCTACGGAGTAATTGTATTTTAACTACGCACTCTCAACTCGAAAAGCGTGTCGCTTAACAATAGCCTTTTTCAAACACTGATTCGCTTTCACAATACTGAAATTCCATGGATATACATAATACAATTTAAAACTGTAACATCAGTGGAAGAGAACATATAAATATATTCCTTTCAAGAAAATTAACCCGACTCTTCTCGCGTTCCGTGTATTAAATTTCATCCCGCAGAGTCAAACATTGAGTCAGTTTAATAGACTCTTTTCATAAACGGCTGCCAATTATAAAGTCTTTTGTAAGTATTAAAATTAGCCTGACTAACCTCGATTTTGAGTTGATAATTCAAAAGAATTTTTACTCCCAAGCGAGTTTAGTGAGGCTAATTTAAATGTAAACAAAAGAACTTAAATTGGCAGCCATTTATGAAATGGGTCTATAACGGGTTGTAAGTTTGTTGTTGCTGCGATAACCTCATTCTTGTATGGCGTAGCTCATTTCTCATTACTCTACAAAATACAAAAGAAGACGCGCAGTGTTGTCTTCGTTCGGGCTTCCAAATACTTACGTCGTTTTCTTTGTCGTCGTCTTCTTCTCCTTCTACGCCTCTTTCTTCGTCTCAGTTTTCGTCGCCTTCTTCTGCGCCTTCTCCTCCTTCTTCTCCTTCTGCGTCGCGTTCTCCTTCGTCTTCTTGACACTCCTGCAGAGATTTTTCCTATTAGAAATTCCATCCACCTCCAACGAAATAACCTTTTCATTTCCAGCATAGACAAATATCTGGTTTGCTCCATTCACTTATCAAACAAATTCAAGCCTTAAAATTATAACGATCAACCTAAGAGCACGCACGTTCTGAAAAAGACCCCTACATATGTAAGAGTCTGTAAGAAACGTGAGAGCTCGTATGTTTTTAGTTAAAAATTGACAACTCCAATATCTCAATTTCCTTTAATTTCCTCACAAGTACTGCATTAAGGTCTCGCAATTCTTCTCTACTCGCAGAACGTATGTATGATCTACGAGTGGTGTAGACTGAATTCTCATAAAGCAAGAAATAACATGGAATGCAGGCGTATTCATAACCAGCGAGTGCATTTTGATCGGGCGGGCGCCAACAAAGGTCATTGAGAGCGTCAAAAACCGTCCTTGTTCGTCTCCATCATGACTTCCACGGCAAAACATATGCAGCGCTTGCCCAGCTAAAAAAAACGCCTGCATTACAGGTCATGCTTAAGATAATGACTTCTACCTAAGGATAACAAAAAACGCTGAACATACTTCGCGGACGACGACGCCATCGCCCTCGCCGTCCAGCTAAAATAAAAACAAATAACACTCAATTAGAAAGCAAGAAATGATTCAAATTTCACCTCCCTACCTCCCTCAATTCCTACCTCCCTCTTTCATCACAGTCTTTCCCCATGAATTGAAAATCACTTGCTCCCACTACTGTCCCAGTGCTGGTTTAGAATAACCATGACTGACAAAACCAATTTTGATTGGGTTTTATCCAACACCTCTGCATGTGGCGCGGTCTACCAGTCCACCGTCACCTTGGCAAGCAAAGGTTTTTTGGTCTATACCTCAATTTCTCAGTTTTCTTAATTAGAGACGCTAGCTCACAGTTTACAGCAAATACGCTCTCTTCTAGTTCGAACGTCGTAAACAACGAACTGATGTTAATGGAAAGCCAAATGTATCATATCTTTGACCGAAATAGTAGCCACTTGAAACAATAACAAGCAAACATATTTGAATCTTGTAATACCCTCACCTCTACCAAGTGGGATGCGAGCTGATGCGTAACTTGGACCTTGTCTCTGTGGGCGACTCGTGTATCTGATCCAATATGGTCTTCTACGACCAACATACCCGATCGCGGCAAGACTGCTTCTTTATCTCAGTCTTATTCTTCGTGGATTGATGTGCAGCTTTCTGAATACGTATTTGTAGTATCTACCATACCGATACGCCTCGTCTTGGATTCCAAGTAACAAGATCCTCCTATGATAGCGAAGAATACATTATCATTAGAAAAACAAATATCTTTTATTCAATGTATTAGAAATGAATTTTTGTCAATTAAGACATAATGGGCATTTTCTCCGGGGAAAACTCCTTTTCTCGTACAAAAGTCTGTAAAACATTTACAAAGAAACTTCAACAGAATATAGTGATGATTTGTTCTGAGCCAGCCCAGAAAAGAAAGGTTGTGAACCGTAAACAAGTAGCAAAGTTGTATTTAGTTTTATTCCGTTGGAAAGTTCAAATACATCAAAACAGCCTTTTTGTCTTTTCCTTGCGTTATTTCAGCCATAAAGAACATCAAACTGGACTTACCCGGGTCTGATACTGTAAATAAACCTCTTGAACAGTCTTGCATGGTGACGGCTGCCGTGGGTGTCAAAATATCTCCTGTGCTCAACAAGCCCTGTAACAGTAAACAGTGTCCATATAGTATTGTGATATGAACATTCTTATCAACTAATACCCGTTTACACAGAAGGGCT